AAAAAAAAAAAAATAACATGAGCGAGGAGAAAACAGAAAATTCCACAGCGGGTTAATTATCGTTACAAGAATCGGATGCACAATTATAGCAATTCCAGGACATCTGAGAAAATCTTTAGTCGGAATGCTCTCAAGCGCAAAATTTACCGAGAATTTCTAGAACCATTTCTGCGCTGTTTCTAGCGCTGACAACACGATGAAGTTGTAATTCATCGGCTTTAATCTTGGGTTCGGATTCGCCGACAGAAAATCAATTCTTTGGCCCCTTTCACAGTGACTAACTGGCGAATCTAGCATGAGGGAAAAAGCTTGCTTTTAGCTTCATTCTAGACTTTAACTGGTATATGCTTCTTCTGGTACATAGCTTCTCAAATTATAGCAAACTTTGCTTCTAAATTCAATATTTCTTTATATATGCCACAAACGACAATTTTGACAACCAGAGATATGTAAGGATGTAAGCATAAACAGCGACACACATTTAGAGGGTTACGAGGTGTTCAATAAGCTGTTATCGACTGGCAGTGAACATAGCTCTAAAAAAAACGTCTGAAAGATTTTTATAACTTGTCATGGTAAGGAATTTTCCGACCTTTTCAATAAGTAATGATGTGAAGGCACAGATAAAATCCAGAAGAATATGCTGATATGATACCTAGTCGTCAGCAAAACACCGTCACCTCCACTTAAGAGACAGAAGGACAAGCAAACTGGTTTCATGCTTTCAAACCGTAAACTTCAGCTTCCTAACATTGGTAAAACCGAAGCTGGATCATCGCATCAGACACACCCATATATATATGTGCTCGTCTTGACGAGACCGTATTTATATAAGTGCCGTATTTATATTTATTTATGTAAACACGGCCCCGTCATTTTTCTGATTTATGAAGAAAACTAAAAGAGTCGACACACCTAGCATGACCAATCTCCCCGAGCCGTCGGCACAAAGCGGATTACCTAAAAAAGAATTAGAAGCAGAAGGAAGGAACTGCAAAATGCAGCGTAGCAAGGAAAACCTTACAGCAATTTGTCTGCCAAAAAGGACGCATTCCAAAAACAGCAGAAGATGGAAACGCGTACTCCTCTGCTGCATTTTGGATTGCGACTGTGGATGACAGTTCCTCAACTTCACAAATAAAAAGTATGGGAATGAAATCCTAGCTCTGCAAGGCGAGATCGATGATGATGATGATAACCTGTGTTCAGCTGTATTTTAGCAGTTCACGTTTGATGCTAGGGTAGAGTTGGCAGTCTTGAACGTAACACCTGGAAGCCTTCCGCAATTACATTTTTAAACACCTACGGTTCGTTGTTTTGTTTGTCCCCAGGATTACGAGAAATCCGGGTCCGAAGTCAGGGAGCAAAATGCAGGGAAAAGTGAGACGAAAACAGGTTTCTGGTCTCGTGCACACCAGGAAGTCTGATCCCAAAATTTCGAGCCCAGAACTTTTCGTCTTCACAGCTACGAAAACTCCTATAAATTCGAACAGTGAACGATAAACGCGCAGTGAGCTGAGAACTGAATCAGACTGGAGGTATTTTCCTTGCAGATAGCTCAAAATCTGTTTGCAAAGCAGAAGTTTCTAATCTTTCCCAGTTTCGCATCCAATTATACAATCATGCACACAGGCGGACATACTCGAAAAAACAGAGAGGAAAAACATTCTTGGCACAAGTGAACGCAGCAAGAGTAATCCAAAACGTAAAACAATTCCATAGACAAAATGACGGTAGAAAAGGAATGTGAGAAAAAAATTTGAGGCGCCAAAACAGCGCAAAGTGAATTTTAAAAAGTGCAAATCAGAATGAAAGTAGTAAAGCAGGCAAATCGTGCAAACTGGTTTTCGTTCCATTTTTTACCTTTCGTGCAGCACTACCAAAGGGAAGAAAAACAGAAACAGGCACTGGAAACGGGAGTGGAAGGGCGCAATAGTTCAACAAAATCATTCATTACTCTAAAAACTTTAGGGGAACGTTCCCTACCCACGTGCGACCCCGCAAATTTAAATTCAGCCTCACCGCACCCGCGGTTAACACATACGGCCCCGTAAAAGTTCTGGCGAGTAAAATTATTACCACGGGAGCCACGGAAGCTAGAAGGCTGAATTTTGTGGGCATGCCCCTCACCTATGCGCTACCCAAAAAATTTAAATCCAGCTTTCCTCTGCCCGCGGGTAACATGCCCGGCCCCTTCCCTGCTCGCGGGTAATATGGACGGCCCCGTAAAAATTTCTGACGGGTAAATTATTATCTCGGGAACACGCAGTCTAGGAAGCTGAAATTTTGGGGTTGAGACCCCCTGCCCACGAACGACCTTGCAAATTCAAGTTCAGCATTCCCGCGCCCTCAGGCACCACTTACGGCTCCGTGAAAATTACGGAGGGTAAACTATTACCTCGGGAATCACGGAAAGATATTCACCTTCAAGGTTTCAAGTTCAGCTTTTATGCGCCGGTGCGTGAAATTTTAAATATTTTTCAACGTTCTAACTATTTTTGCAAAAACTAAAGTGCAAAGCAGTGAAAATCATTAATAGACAATTGCTCGATGGGCGGCATTGCACAAAACGCATGATCGCACCGGCAAGTCTAGTGCGCGTTGCTATTTATTTCGTTCCTGTTGTTAGGTTTTCTCCGACATGGCAAAAAAATTTTTGCTTCGAAGTTCTTGCCACGAGAAACAATTGTTTTTTCTCGCCATAACAATCTGTGTCGTAGATTCGTCATATCGTTACCCAAAAAACTGCTGAACCCGAACAGAAATGTGCTTGCAGTGAGAAACACACATTATATCATCCACAATAATATCGGTCTAACTGGCTACAGCTTTTATACTTCTACCGTTCATATTTAAAAAAAAAAAAAAAAAAAAGCGGACGAACGGAGTGGAAGAAATAATCATTGAAAAGGGATCACTTTTCCTTGCGATGTAGACATCGCAAATTAAATAACACAGCAACTATGCATTATCGAGACCGTTTATGGGTAAGAGAATTTAGCTACTATTGTAAAATTCAAATAATTTAATAACCCAAACTCCTGCCAATACCGGACATGGCTGGGTCGTCCGCATCTGCTCAATTATTGCATTTTGATGCACAATGCTCATCACACAATGCAAACCTTTCGTTCATCGGCGTCTCCGCTTGCATCAGTCTGGTGGAGCGATGTTCGGCTTCGACGCATTTCTTCAATTTCATCACGGTATCTATCGAACATACCGTACGGTATCACCAACGGTGCGTTGTATGTCGAAAATGCGAAAGAAGTAGTACGAATCGGCGGCAGTGGTGCACTGCAGCGACCCTGTTCATATGAGAATGGAGTACTGTATCGTGTGGATGATACTTCATGCTGAGTTGCAGCCCTACTATTGTTATCTCCGTGAGGCACATATGGCAACGGCCCATGCGATAATGAAATACCGCTGGGAGTAGCAGTGGCGGTAGTATAAGTCTGTAAAGCAGGGACAAACAGAGGTGGATGTGCTGACGAAGCATTCGTACAGTACGTCGGTGAACTAATATTACGACACACTAGAGTACCACAAGGTGTCGGGCGCTCGGAAGTGGTCGATGTGTGCGAAGTGTCCAAGTCGGTGGTACGCAATGTACGTCGTTCACGATACCAATCTGGCACATGTAATTTTTCGGTTGATTTCCGGAATCGTAATTCATGTTCCGAAATGTTTGGAGTCTTTTCGCCAAATTTCTGGAGTTCATTTTCCGGCGGTGCTGATTCTTCGCGCATCCTACAAAGATTCCTTTAATGTGGAGATGCTTCATTGTAGAAATAGCTGTACTGATGCTGTATGAACAGCCGAAACGTCCATAATGAAGCAAATCAGTGTTCACAGCACGTAAGGATAATATAACAACAACAGCGAAGGAGAAGAGGAACAGTAAAACAAGCAGCTGGAATGTTTTCTTAGCCGCTTGCTTTACCCGGATTATGTAATCGTTTATCCCCACTCATAAACGACTACATAATCCGGGTAAAGCAAGCGACTGGTGCAAAAATTTCCACATATGGCGGAGTAGGCGCTCGCAGAAATAACAATCAACTACGCCCCCGAGTTGGCATTTGCCAGCGACGATGAAATCCCAATTTCGACGTGCTTGTACACGTGACGTAGGCGTGTATGGAAACTGAATTTGAAATTTTTAGCCCATTCAAGAACAAAGAACAATGTCAAATTTAAGCTTCCTATTCTGTCTGGTTTCCGAAACCGTTTTCCAGCAAAAAAATCTATTTCTTTCGGAGCCTGTACGTGAGACGAAGTGTACGTGGACGATAACATTACCAAGGATGCAATGCACCAGGCTTGCCAGTGCAATCATGCGTTTTTGCGGGACTTGAGGCATTTAGATTGTTAACAACATGGTTGGTTCGTGGGCAATTACAATAACTCTGCTCGCTCGTCTCATACACAAGCCGCAAAAAGTTTTTTTCTGCCGACAGCAGGTAGGGCAACCCCACGGCGGATGGCGGCAGTTTGAATCTGGGAGGTGAAAGTGGGGGTGGTATGTGGCAAGTTTCGTTCGAGGCGAGGAAGGGGGGCCAGGAAAGGTGGATATAAGGACTAAATGGTGTAGACCCTTTGCCGATTGACTAAGCAATGTACAATTGAGGGGAGAGAGGAGCGGCGAAGAACGGAAAGGATGGGGAAGTGTGATCTTGGAGCTTCCCTTTTTATGAAACTGATGCTTAGGTGAAGCTGTTCCAGAAAAACCCGGCTTCTTTATTTATGAAACTGATGTTTAGGTAAAGTTGTTCTAAAAAAAAAGTCCTATTTATGAAACTGATGCTTAGGCAAAGCTGAGAGCGAATAAATTCCATGAAGTGGACAAAAACAGGGTCGGAGAGATGTCCATGGATGAAGTCAGCCTTTGCTTCTGTGAGATTTTGAAGACAAAAAAACAAAGATATATCTGTTGTGCAGAGTTGCAGGCTGCAAAAGGCAACACTGTGGAAATGTCTGCAATTCCTGTTTAATCCAACTGGACTTATTTGCCCTCAACTTCTCCTAAGCATAAGTTTCAGTAAATGAATTCCTTTTATTCACAAATTCAGGTTTGCTTTAATTTACTTTTCTTTGTAGTGCCGTGTTGGCTTATTTCCCTCTTTATTTTCGTCTTTACTGTTATCTGCAGTTTTTGCTTCGAACTCCTGACTAGCACCCTTTTTTCCTTCCTGTATCCTCTCCCCAACCCTTGCCTCCAGAGCCACATCGAGGCACCCACCACCTTCAACCACTGTCACCGCTTATCGTTCTGAACTCCTGACCAGCAACTTCATTCCTCCCCTCTAACCTGGCCTCAGTCGTGCCTTTTGAGCTATATCTAGGCAATTACCAACCAACATCCCCCAACCACGTCCAGTCCTCCCACCCATCACCCCCCCCCCCCCCCCCCCCCCCC